TTACAATTTATTATTAAAATGACACAGTATGTTTTGATTTTTGAGGAATGTTCGATCGAAGGATTCTCTGCCGTTCTCTTTCCCTCCGAGAATTCCAGGTCGAGAACGGTACGATTCACTTTAATAATAAAGTCATCGTTTCACAAATTTTTCGGTTCTTTCACATATTACAGCTTTCCTTAAATTTCCCTAATATTTGCTATGTCGGGCGCATATCCAGTAAGTATAATTGAGTAAGTTTCTACAACGTAGATCCTATTTGTTTTTGATATCGTTTTTCAGAAGATTTGTTTTTAAAAGGTAATAAAAATCCAACGTTAATTCTTGCTGAACGAACCCGGGTATGTTATACTACACTGTATACAGGGTGTTAATAAATAGTGGGATCAAACTCCTAGGATAAAGAGTACTCATTAAAATAAGAAAAAAGTTGATAGAAACATAGGCCAGCAAATGCTTAGTTTTCGAGATATAGGGTGTCAAAATTTGAAAAAATCGTTTTTTTTAAATTCCGTTATCCGAATTTCTTTAAACTTGGCATATTAACTTTGTTTGTAATATTAACAAAACGTATTTTTTGATTCAACTAGATTTACCGTAATTATTCCAGTGGCGCCCCAGAGGACAACTACGGTGGTAAAAGTAGAAAGAAATGGCATGTCACTATTTTTTTATAAACCCTGTATACATTCATAGCGACTCATCCAAAACACTTGTTTTGATGTATAGTTATCTACAACTTTCTCAGCTTCTCAGTATCTTACTGAGAAGCTGACATAAGACCTATAGGTCTGAAAGACTTCGAAAGAGTAGCGCCCCTTTTCCATACTTTCTGGGATGAAAGTAACCTTATTAGCTCTTCTCCAATGACGGGGCATGCTCCCAGTCGCTAAGGATAAGATAAGTTTGTGCCGAATTCTACATGTAGAATCAAGGCGCCAGCGAAAAGTTATTTCATGTAACTCTTGATACCGGTCCATTGTGAATACCTTCTATTAATTCATTAAAGTGCTTCTCATCCCATACCGCTGATTTTTGAGAACAAAACAACAACATGCTTAGGGCACTTTTGTTCTCCCTTTCACATTTGCTTTGTGCTATGAAATCACTTTTCCAATGCCTTTTCTTTTGGCCTGTTTTGCGCTTCTCTCCACAGTAAGTTTTCTATGGGTTTCCTTCGGTTTGATGCCCTGTTGAGGGAACCTGGAAGTATCGTCACACTCCAGACCCACTGAGGCCTCTTCTCACTGGATCGTTGAGTCCTAGTCCTACAAAGTGGCCCAAGAGGTGGGTTGCAAGGCTGCTTTTGGGGTCACTCTTCTTGAATTTTTTCTCCGTGGGTTTGGTGCTTTTTATTCGTAGATCCGTATTGGCTAGTTCCCTTTTGTCTCCGACGTGTCTAGGTCAGTTAACTGACATGCTTCTTTCGGTTAGCGGTTGATGGTTTTGCGCCATTTTGCTGTCATTCTGCCTTTCTTTTTTTTTTTTTTTGTTCTCCCCGGCAGTGGCGTGTTTACCATATAAGCTAGGGAAGTACAGCTTCCCCTCGAGGATTTATTAAGAACACTAAACTAAACTTTATGTAGACATTTTCAAAAACAAATATATGAAACTTGTGAATGGCTGACTGGTTCTGAAATTATAAGTCTCTCCTGTCCTGTACTTTCACCATCTTTCCCCACAGCTTACCCATCTGTTAAAGTCTGGACACGCCACTGCAGTCCCCGGTCACTCATTTCTCGTGAACTTCAAAATCAATTTAAATATCTGGATACTGTTCTTGACGTTTTTGACAGAAGTGTCAAATGCAAAAGTTTTAAGAAATTGTCCAAAGCTTTTAACTAAGTTAGTTTTAGGCATACAGGGTGCGTCAAAAACGAGCAGAAGTGTGAAGTTATTTTTTTTTTAATGGAACACCCTGTATATTGTACGCTTATTTGTTAGTCCCGTTCAACCTGAATTCAATGATATATGGTTTGATATGTTTATCTCTCGGCTTATCTCCAATAGTAATAGAGAAAAACGCGAAAATCCCTTCCTAAGTCTCTCATGTTATTTTTTTCTTAAATAATGATAATCACTTAGACATCTGGATTTAGGTATTATAATATTTCACCTTGTATATTAATAAATAAAATTTGAACAATAAACTATTTAAAAAAAGTTCTCTAAAGCTTAAATAGTATAATTTTTCTTTTTTCAATATGAAACCTTGAAAGGGATTTTCATGTTTTTCCCTATAACTATTGAAGATAAACATATAAAACCGTATATCGTTGAAATCAGGTCAAAAGGGAATAACAATTAAACGCACAATATACAGGGTGTTCCATTTTAAAAAGTATAACTTTACACTGCTGCACTTTTCTGACGCACCTCGTATGCCTAAAACTGACTTGGTTGAAAACTTTCGACAATTCTTGCAACTTTTGTATTTGACACTTTTATCAAAAATGTCAAATGAAAAAGTTAGAAGGGGGTGACATTTATAATAGATCACCCTGTACTTACATTATTAAGGAATCGTCACACGAATAAGCCACGGAGTTTGTTATTCATACATTATCTGGTTGAGTAAGTGTGATAACTGGGAATTCAAACAAAGAGGATTTCTGGAATAATCATAGGAAAATTATCCAAGTTTATTTTTTTTTATCCCATTTTGACGTTTAAAAATGACATTATTGAACGCATAACAATAAAGGTAAATAGACGTTTATCACCTCAGTGATTTAAAAACATTTTAACTCACTCTCGGCATTTTAAGTCACTCTGCCCAAATAAAAATCTGAAACCTCAGTGATTTAATATATTTTTAACTCACTCCTGGCATTTTTCCTTCTACCTTATTTTTAAAATTTTCACAAAATGGGATAAAATTTTGTATACATCACGTGAGTTGAAATGTTTATTCATTCGAAGAAAATTAACCCACTCGCTAGGGCTCGTGGGTTAAACTTTCTTCTCATGAATAAAAATTCATTTAACTCACTTGGTGTATAAATAACTATTAACAACCAGTAACCATAGCTAGTGTGATGATCCAGAAATTTGACCCGATAATTACAAAGTCTTTACTGTAAAAATTAAATTTTATCAAATAATCAAAATTTAATTCCGGTATTTTTAAATCTGTATCGATAAATTAAAAATAAAACACATAAACGCTAAGTATTGCAACACCGGCCAAGTCATCATCTAAATTACATTCTTAAAAAAAAATGATAAAAACGAGGACAGTGACATCACTAATAACCGATCAATGAACTTTGTTAGCCAAGGCCTTTCCGCTTACCAAAAATTGAGTCGAATGAATTATGGCATTCTTGAACCCAAACGTGTCGACCTCAATAAATCAGATTATTGCGACATAATTAATTGATTTTAGACTAAAAATAATATAAAATTCCAAGGAAATTGCATCATCTTAATTGTCATGGACAAAGTGATTTAGGAGCATCAGGTTTATATAAATAGCGCGTTTTTAAGAAGGAGAAGACAGTTGCCAGTTATCCGTTGAAGTTACCCATTGTTACCAGTCCAGTCTGTCTGTTTTCGCGAGAAGTTTCTTTTATGGCGTATGGCCTCGGGTATAATTTAACTTAGAGAATTTACGGAAAATCGTGAAAGTAATAACATTTGAAATTCGTTCAATAATTTATGTGCGTGCTAGCTAAATATTTTGAGTAATTAATTAAGTAATTTTACGTGTGTTTTACGGACAAAATGTAAGTACTTTATAGTGACAAGATTTATTTTTGATGAACATGACTTTGTGTGATTAAACTCTGACTTTCATTACATAAAAACAAACTGAGTGATTTTTACTAGAAATACTTTTGAATTTATAAACTTGAGGGTTGTATTACTAGAAAAACTTTTGACTTTTAATTTAACAGTGGAACTTCATTGCCTTAAATAGTAATAACTCGAGTGTTTTATAAATGGAACATTATTGCATAACTTAATTACCTTCTGATATAATGACATTTAATGGTGAAAAGAGAATATGAAGAGTACTTATAATGCATTTAACAATATACTATTTTGAGTTGGAATTATGAATTAAACAGTTGAATTTATTAGCTAGGCATAGGAATCCGAAAATAGAATTTGTTCTGATAAACTATTAACTGCAATAGGAAATTTTGAAAAGAAATTTGATGACATAAAATATAAATGTTTTCTTAAAATATTGGAAACTTGTTAAAAGGAAACTTATATTAGATTTTGTTCATGAAATAGAATTGTCTTAGAATATGGGAAAGCTGTTAAAAGAATTTATTGTTCATATGAAATGAATTTTGAATTAGGGAGTTTATTTTACAAATAGAAGTTATTGTAAGATTTTATGAGAATAAATTAGTTGATAAACAAATAGGTAATTATTTTGGGTTTTCATAAGTAAAGGACTTACAGATTTTAAAGAATTATTTGATTAGGTGAAGGATAGTTATTAGGAATGATTCGGATGTAGTAAAATGAGTTAAATTATAATTTTGAGAAATAGTATGAATAGGGCGTTTCTTATTTAGTAGGGATATTTCAGTGGTCCGTAAAATAACAATATAGAACGGATGTGAAGTATTGACTTTATAGAAATAAAGGATGTAAAGTATTGGAAGATATTTGGCTGATTGATTTTTGGGTTTTATGTGAAATAAAATATAATTTAGTACACCTCATTAGTTTGTTTCTCTCTCTTGCAAATAGACCCTCCTCCACAGATTTTAGATAGCAAGCTCCAAGTATATAAACACCATCAATATACCGCTCGCCATTTACCATCTAACTATTTACATAAAGTACTTGGGGCGATTTGCTACACTAGTAACTAGTGAAGATAACAAAAAAAATTGAATATAATAAAAATGTACCTTGATAAAAATAATGACAAAAACATGACATGACAATATAAAAACTATGAAATGCTAAGAGCAGTTATCCAATATACTACAGTAAGTATTTGATATTTTCGAATAATGTTATCCTTCTTTTAGTGATTATGAGTGGAAAATGGGGACAAGAACGGCCCTACATTTCTAACGGGGTACTCAATGGAAAATATGTATTTTCTCAAGTGCATCTTCATTGGGGTCAAACCGATTTGGAAGGAAGCGAACATACAATAGATGGCGGACACTATCCGGGCGAAATGCATGTTGTGCTGTTTAAAAGCTGTTATCTAACTCAGGAATCCGCATTGAAGGAGAAGGATGGAATTGCTATTTTGGTTTATTTTCTTCAGGTAGGTATATGACGTACCGTAAGATGCGTAAGATGGTGTCACTTCGGACAGTGCAGGTAGCTTCGGACATTTGGCAGTTGTCGCGCATGTTCGTGGCAAGTGGGGATCCGCTGCGCCAGAGCTTTGTGTTTGGTGGTGGTAATAATGCGATTTAGTATCCTTTAATCAGTCGAGGTGGATTGTTGCTGCAGGGCGTAAGTATTTACGATTTCAGAGGGTATTTTAACGCCATGTTTTTAACGGTTTTTTAAAACATCGATAAAGTAACTAGTGGGCAGCTTTTCTCCTTCAGTATTATGATATATGAGTTAGCTGTGGTCAATACTCCATGTTTCATTAAGACTTGACCAAATTTACACAAAAATTTGCTGGTTACTTTTTTTTGTACAGGGTCCCCAGTAGCACAACAATACTGGTAAAATATTATATTTACATATTGGCCCAATAATGGAAACGACAGATTTTTTTTTAATGGTCCAATATATATTGTAAATATGAATCCGATATTGGAGAAAAACATTGTCCCATTATTGATAATTAATAAACAAGTAATATTGCTTTTAGAATTTTACCCAATATTTGTTTTTCAGATTGGTACAATGTATACTTTTTATAGGGATCCGATATTGAATATAAACATTCCTCCAATATTGACAATTGATAAATATGAAATATTTCTATTTACAATATTTCCTAGAAATATTTACAATATTTTTTTGGAAAAACACATGTATTTAACCAAAGCTCTAACACCTGCAGACTAGACCGGTTTCCGGTTTCGAGCTTGTTAGCGAAGCACACAACTCAAAGAAACAGTTTTGAAGGAAACTCAAACACCAGGAAAGAGCAAGGCCATCAGTAGCGCGTGGCGCCCTCTCTCGGTAGTCCTGATTGATATGGAAAAGGTGGATCTCCTATATATCACCAATATTGGATAAATATAAACATGAATAAAAGATATTGCCAAACATGGATCGGATCCAATATTGGATCAATCTTGGATTCACATATTATATGATAATAATGTAGGAAAAAGGTAAATCTCCAATATTTTACCAATATTGGCTACAAATTGCCAATATTGGACCTATTTACAAAATTTTACCAATACAGAATCAATATTTGGCCAATATGGAAAAATATATCGCTGTTATATTAGAAAAATTTATTTTGCCATTATTTATCCAATATTGGTTTAATAATGCAAATAAAAACATTATCTGTCCATATTGGTCCATTAATGGATACAATATTATAGTAACATTAGAAAAAGTTGTATTGCCAATATTGGCTCAATAATGCACAAAAAAACAATTTTTTTGTGCTTACCGGTGCAATGATGGATAAATATATCACTTTTATATAAGAAAAATTTGTATTGCCAATATGTAACCAATCTTGGCTAATATGCTGCCGATAAAAATATTGTTTGTGCATATTGGCCCATTCTTGGATAAATATATTATGATAATGATGAAAGAAGTTGTATTACCAATAAATGTCTAATGTTGGCTGAAAAATGCCAATATTGGGCCAACATACAATATTGGTCCAATGTATCCGCAACATCGGACCAACATTGTGTGCTACTGGGGGTGATTTATAAAAAAAACGACATTTTCCAGGTGACTTCGGACATGGGTCAAAAATATAAAAAGGTGCTGGGGAACCGCAATTATATGAATTACGATCCCCAAATACTTGAAAGGGCCATTTTGTCAGTAAGATCCAAAAGGAAATACCATCAGGGAAGCTGCCGAATATTGCAAAATTCCTAAATCGACCATTTGTGATAAAATAAAGGGAAATCACACCAAGAAGCATGGTGGTCAGCAAATTTTATCTGTTGCTGAAGAAAATGAATTCACGCGTGCAATATTATTGAGTGCAGAGTGGGGATTCCCCCTCACTGAATTTGACATTAGAAAAATAGTTCAATCCTATATGAATAGAAGAGGAAAGAACATTAAAAAATGGAAAAACAACATCCCTGGCCGAGACTGGACAAAAAATTTTCTTGAACGACATAAAGAACTCACTATTCGCCTTACCCAAAACATAAAAAGATGTAGAGCTGAAGTCAATGAAACCACAATAAGGGAATACTTTGATGCCTTACAAAATTCGATTGTCGACGTTCCACCAGAAAACATAGTCAATTATGATGAGACGAATTTTAGCGACGATCCTGGAAAGCCAAAAGTTATTTGCAAACGTGGTGCAAAGCACTGCGATAGGATCATTGACTCATCCAAAACAAATATAAGTGTCCTACTGAATTTTTTGAAGACTGCGAGAAGCCCAGACATTCGCCCCAAAACAAGAAGGAAGCGGGTGAACATTAAACCAGGAGAACCAGTTTATTCATAACATTTTTCTGATAACAACAATGCATCCAAAAATAAACCCGATAATGACAAAGAAAATATCGATGGTCAAGAGAACGAAGAGGTCGAAGCTGAGACCATGTCAATAGATGGTTCATTAGATGGCGATCTTCCTTGTTTCAATAAGACTGAAATTTCATCCAGTTCTTCAGAGGACGAAGTTACTCTAAGTGCGCTGAAGGAAAAAATGCAAACAAATGCAAAGACTGAAAACTGTGATTCTAATCTTAAGCAAAAAAATGGAATGTTCGTAGCAATTAGAATTCCTCTTGTCAATTGCTCAAAATACAAATATTATGTTGGGCAAATTATGGAAGATTATCAAGAAGAAGAGACTTGCCTAATAAGATTTATGAGGAAAAAGTCCCCAAATAACCAAGACATCTATTTTTTCTTTCCAATCGTAGACGATGAAAGTGTTTTGCCGGTTTCAGATATTATTGAGAACAATCTGATACCAATTCCTCTGAGACGTGATCGATACACATTTTCAAATTTTCCAAAGAATATTGCGTTTGAATAGGCTTTGTTATCTTCAAAGAGATTTATTTTTATTTTTGTATGTCGTCAATATAGTACGGGATACGAGGCCTATTTCATCAAATCATTTTACACTGTCTTGCATTTTTATCATCAGTTAGATAACATGATGCTAAAACGCACTTGGTGCAGGGAAATAGATGGGAGTGGGGGATTTCGCTGAAAAAAATATTTCAGAAAATGTTGTCATAAACAAGGAAAATATATAATTATACACCGTCTTGCATTTATTTATTGAGTTAATTTGTGCACAAATAAAATTGAATTAACACATGCAAGACGTTTTCATGGAGGTTTTGGAGTTGTAATATTAGATAGAAATTGTCAATTTTTCAGAGGGGTGAAATATCATTTTACACCACATCATGTTGATTTAGATTAAAGCTCGAATGTAGAATAGCCACTGGATACTGATGCAAGACGTCCTGTGGAGGGATAACGGGCTGCAAGACGGAGGTCAATGTATTGTCTTATGAAGGAGTGAGAAATCATTTTACACCGTCTTGCACTGGTACTAATGGGAAAAACAGAACACATTGATAACATTTAAAAAAATACAAGACGTTCTAAATAGAAAGAAAGGACTGCAAGACGGTGATGAAGTTGACTAATTTTGACGGGGGTCAATCCATCAGGTACAAAGGTGAATACTACTCCAAATTACAAATTACGCACATTAATTTTAAATATTTTTGCTCTTTACCACGTAGAATAATTCTATTTTGCAAAATTCTCTTAATATTATGTATATTTGAATATCTCTACGGACATCAAATAAGAAAAGGTTGAAAATTGTTCTCTTTCTGACGGCATATAATGATTTAAGTTTTTTTAGGGTGGATATGCCATAACACATAACGGATTGTAATTATTAGCTAAATTTGAGAAATTTGATTTTAAAGCAGCAAAAAAATGACAACAAATGATCTGTCTGGAATTGTAAACAGAAATTATAATTCCTGTATTCAGCAGACTCCCCTGTTGAGCTGCTATGTCAACTGTCCTTTTCTATCTGTATGATTTAGAAAAGAATGAACAGTGAACGGTTCAGTAAATAACTCAACAGTTCAGTTAAAAAAGAAAACGGATTTATTAACTTTTTTCCCCCAAAAAAACGTCTTGGACTTATGTATTACCATTTCTTAACATATATTCTTCCGGCGGACATAAGCATGAAGTGGTGTAAAATAATTTCTCACTTCCTCATGAGAAAACGCATTGACATCCGTCTTGCAGCTCGTTATCCCGCCACAGGACGTCTTGTATCAGTATCCAGTAGCTATTCTACATTCAAGCTCTAATCTAAATCAAAAATGGAGTGGTGTAAAATGATTTTTCACCCCTCTCAAAAATTGACAATTTCCATCTTATATTACAGACCCAAAACCCCCATGAAAACGTCTTGCATGTGTTAATCCAATTTTGTTTGTGTACAAATTAAGTCAATAAATAAATGCAAGACGGTGTTTAATTACATATTTTCCTTGTTTATGACGACATTTTCTGAAACATTTTTTTCAGTGAAATCCCCCACTCCCATCTATTTCCCTGCACAAGTGCGTTTCAGTACCATGTTATCTAACTGATAACAATGCAAGACGGTGTAAAATGATTTGATAAAATAGGCCTCGTATCCCGTACTAATAAGTTTGTGTTGTTAATTTTCTTTTTGGTGAAGTTATTTTTATTTTTGACAGTAATCCTGTTTTTTTTTATGTAGAAATAAAGTTTATTTGAAAAATATGTAACTGCATTTTTTTAAGTAGGTAGATAAACAAAAAAAAAAAATTTAAGTAGGTAGATGACTTGAAAAAATAAAAATTTTTAGAAAAAAAATGTCCGAAGCTACTAACCATTGTGTTTAACACCGGTTTTCATTGATTTTTCGGGGTGTCCGAATTCACCCCAAAATTGCTGGTAGCTTCGGACAGTAAAAATTCAAAAAAATAAAAAAAAAACAAAAATAGCATAAAATATCTATTATGCTAGAAACTTAGTTCGGTATGGGTGCTTCCCTTATGCAAATTTGGAGCTCCATAGACAAACTCATTTTCGAGATATTCCAAAAAGAATACAAAAATTGTCCGAAGTGATACCATCTTACGGTACTCGCTTTAAATATATATATAATAGGAAAATGCGCAAACTAATACCGCCAGTCCAAAACAGCTCGAAATTTCACCGCGAAATTCCAAACTGATGCGTACCTGATTTAAAACAGCGAAAACTTTGCCAATATTCAAAGACTTTGGCCGCAAAAAACGGTTTAGAATTAAGCCTAGAAATGGTTTACTTAGAGTTCTCCATGTGCGTCAAGATTTTTTTCATCGTAATGCGTTTCAAATGCTTCCATAAAAAGCGTGTTGCGTAATTCCTTACTCTCCTTTTTATTCCAAGGTAGATCATTGTCTAAACAAAAAGTTTCTATATTTCCTTCTTTGATCTCAATAGGTATAAAAGAGCTCTGTTCCAATCGACATGAAAACCGTTCCAGAACCAGTAATTTCCAGTTGCCCACCTATTTCTCAATAAGTTGAACGTTTATCCCACTTGACAAATAAATTGATCGACTGGAAATTACCGTTTTAGAACAGTTGGAACAGAGCTATTAGAACACTTCCAACTTTTACTATAGCAATCGACATGAGATAAACCTTTTTTAGTTACAAGATCCATCGAATGCAGATTTTCAACCAATATCCAGAGCTTTGCCTGCAATCGCTAAGGCTCATACTTCGATCAAAATTCCTCCTATGCAATTGGATAGTTTATTCAATCAGTTTGAGAGTGATTATTTTTTATACAGAGGATCAATAACGACTAGTGATTGTGTCCATCACATTCTTTGGTTGATTACTCGGTGTCCCATTGGAATATCTTCAGAACAAGTAAGTAGGACAATTTTAATTTTTTAAATTTTCTTATAACTTTTTCTAGTCAGATTCCTTGAGGTTTTTACTAGATAATGACGATGAGCTTATTAGAAGAAATTTCCGTCCTGTTCAACCCATTCATGACCGGCACGTTTTTCATATTCTCCCTTCAACTTCAACATTCTCGACTTTATTACCTATTCAAATGATCAAGGGTGACAATAGTAGTGGTTCTGGTTATACTCAAGTATATCAATTACTTTTTGAAAAAAGTAAAGAAGGACAAAAGAAAAAGGAAAACATAAATGAGCAAGTAGAATTAATTTTCAAAAATAGTAAAAATATAGAAGAGACTGATGAAGAGATTGTAACTCGTACTCTATCACTTATTTCCGAATTGAGTCAATGTATAAACCTGATTTAGAAATGGGGAAAAATAATTAAAAACAAATATTTATTTTACTTTTTTTTATTCAAATTATCAGTTGTTATATAGTTATATATTCAATACAATAAAAAATCTTATATGATCTTCAATAATTCCTCATTCTTATACAATAGTTAATGCTTCTAGTTTCTAGCGGCTAATTCTACCTTTTTTAACTAAAAATCACCAAGCTATTTTTCTATATGAAATGCTAATCGAAACTTTTTCTGTGAGATCTGGCATATAAAATGTTAAGTTTCTTGTGGCTAGGCGGTGTCTGAAGTGGCCTGACGTTATTTACAATTTTAACTTTTTCGCATGGCGTGGATTTAAGTTCACGGAAGTGTGCCACCTGAAATTTGAGAATGGTTGGTGGTTGGCAAATGTTTCTTGGATTTGGAGAGAAAAAAATATTTACCTGTTGTCTGGAGACATGGATTGGTGTGGGGTACAATATCCAAGTCACACTTTCTAGATATGGTTCCGTTGTCAAGGATCCTTGGTATGTGTAATAGCCTTTACATTGGGCTTCTTCTCTGATCCAAGTTAGGCAATCTGAAATGGAATATTGGAATTAGTAGTACGTTCACAGTCTGATTTTAACCTCGAAGTAGATGCATGCAAATTAATTAAAAAATTGATAGAACCATTACTAACTCATTTTATTTGCCGTTTTACTCTGAACAGAACCCTTGGTTGTTAAAACACTCCTAAGTGCCTTTCTAGCCCAATAATCATAGAAATTAACAAATATTTTCAAATTTGAAGTTTCGTTCCTGTTAAATATTTTCACAAATGCATAAGCCCCACTAGCCCCCAATAGGTAGGCACGCCATTGTTCAACCAACTTACCAAACTCCTTCTGGAACAAAGCTATCAAGAAGCCTTAACATCAAATTTCTCCTCCGAAATGAAGAAACACCCCGAAGCATTTAAATCAACTAAAGTAGCCCGACTAAAACACACCATGTGCGAAGGAATAGAGGTGAAATGAATCAAATAAGTTCATTAATGGTCTCGGCTCACTCTAAACTTAGTGACGCCCTCAACCACCCTAAAGCCAACCAAGCCAATCTACATAGAACAAAAAGACAGTAACATCAAAAACTTCAATGTAGAATCTCTCTAAGGTAGAAACGAAACAAACGAACCAAATACCTATACCACCAATCACGATTAGAAACTCCGCACAACGAATGAACATCCATAAAATCATTTTTAAGGAACAAGTTGAAAAAACTCCGAAATCACCATAAACGTAATCCAATTTGCCCCTAAAGCAATGTTCTTCAAAACGAATACCATCAAGTTTCACAAATATCTTCTTTTCTTGTTTCATGACCTTCACGTTATTGACTATGGTATGTGTCAATATATTGAAGATCAATCTAGTCGGAGACTTCCGTCTCAGTTCGGTCCATAAAGGATCCAGTGCAGGGTCCAGTGGCATGGTAAAAATGTAGAAATAGTCACCCCACAATTATAATCAGAAATATGAGAAAATATTTGATATATAGGAGGGTAATATATCACTAACACTATATCCACAAAGACTGAACTCGCAACGGGGCAAAGAAAGTAGAAGAAAAAACCTGAGTTGAAATACATTAACTGTGAAGGTCCACGCCTAGCTGGTTATTCCAGTTGCCGCTCAGACCCAAACATTTCTTCAGAATGAATAAATCAGCTTTAAACCACAGGCCAGAAGTTCAATTTAACCAAGATGCCCCCTCAGGCTGAGGATGGCTTCATGAAACACCAGGAAACTCTTTCGTTTTATTGTCTCTCTTCATTAAGTTTAACATGTACAAACTAATAAACTCTATAGCCACACCAATTGCCAGTACTGGAAGTTACCGCAAACAGATGGAGCAGTAAACAAGTATTACCCCTATCACTCTCATTGTTATAAGTCTTGATGTAAAATGTAGTTCATATTTGGCTCTGGCTCCTCTATCACCCGCTAGCACTGCTCTGATTCCTTTGCCAATAGTACATCAATGTACCCGGTGTTTTTTTTATTTTTTATATCATTTTGATCACCTGTACATAAACATTGTACATACAAGAAAAAAACACAGGGTGTAGTTCTTTGAGTTATTAGGTCCACTTTTATGTGGTGCCTTTATTGATAGTAGTTCATTGAGCAAAATCATCTGCAGTTCCAACTGTAAAACCGTCACCTCGATTTTTCCTGAAAAAGTTGAAATAATGAGCTTCCTCACTAAAAATTATATGAGGACGTTCATTCAGGGAATCTCGAGCAAAACCCTACAAATTTTGACGATATAAACGACTTGGATTCCAAAAAGGATTAAAGATAAACTAACTACTTAAGTCAATCCCGCCAAATAAGTGATGGCTATTTGTATCAAACCTAAGCTTGCATATGAGTCATGACACATGTAGATTAAATTCCGAATACATAGAAAACGTTGATCGAAAACTAAGCATCATTCCAGTCCACAAAGCACCAGAAAAGATATAGAACAGTTTCTTATTGGGTAAGTTTTGAACTAGGATATCTCCATAATCATATCCGGGGACTTTAACCAAACACAAATAGAAGAACTTCTCATAACAAATTACTTTCTGATCAGAGAGAAACATTGCCTCAGAAGGATATCAAAAAGCTACAACGATTTAAGGATTCGCAAGCACCCCATAATCAACAAAACAAATCAGATCCCTAATAATAAAGTTATCTTGCTCTTATACTCTTATTATAATACATATTTTAAATATATGATTGCCCATATACAGGGTGACAATTTGGAAAGTAGCAATCAAGAATATCTCTTAGACAAAAAATACTGAAGATCTCAAATACGTATCGAGAGATTGGAGGGGGACTCAAAATGAGGTACTTTTTGAGTCACCCCGCTTCACCCCTTACGGGGTAGTTACCGCAACTTATTTTTTTTAAAATACGACCCTACCTTGTGTTACACATCGTTGGATAGCTCGTTGTCATCCCTTCACAGTCCTATAGAAAAATCGTAAATCGTACGATTAGTTTTCGAGATATCGGTGTTTAAAAGTAAGCACATTGTGAAAACTAGAAAACTACACCATTTCCAATTCCAAGCGGCAGTAAATGACATTTTAATAACCTAAATTGTAAACAATTTATCTGCTCCTGCATGTCTCTAAAGACGAATAAAAAACCTTTCAAAGGAGCTATCACACGGGGAGGTTCTCATTTAAGAAAAATTATTAGGAGCGGCTAGCCCCCAAGACAAGAGAGAAGCGGGTTAAGCAATAAGCACATTTGGTTTGCCCGATGTGTATTTGAGACTTTTATGACAGAATTCTTTTGTCTAAGAGATAGTCAAAATTACTAGTTTTCAAAATATGCTTACTTTTAAACACCGATATCTCGAAAACTAATCGTCCGATTTAAGATTTTGATATATGACTGTGAAGGGATAGCAACGAGCTATCGAAGAATGTGCAAATTTTTTTTTCTACGAGCGTGCGCAAAGTACGTACTTTGCACACGCAGTTGAGAGCCCAAAATTCACTTTTGCGCACTAGTACAGACAAGAATTAATTTTGCGCACTAGTGCTGACAACATTCAATTTTGACAAATAGACCTATCTATTTTTACCTGTATGCGCGCGCAACACGAGGCAATGCATTTTTATTGGCTAACTAGTACAGGTGTGAAGTAATTCTTTTGCACGCTGGGCATCTCCTTGTCCTTGTTCATTGCCCGTGGTCTGACAAGGATAAAATTATGCTTGATATTCAACTTGACGTAGCTTGACAAGTGATCGATTTTCAATTGTTTGTGTTTTTGATTGACAGATACGTTGCATGTCACGTGGTTTTCCTGCTTCCTTTTTTATCCCGTGCAAACAATAAGAACGGATTGCTATACGTAAGTCTAACATAATTTGGCACGTTTGGCCTCGTCTTGCGCAATAAGCGTTCTGCGTCTTTTTTTATCTAATAAAGTTTTCGTATTATTACCTCTTTGTCTGGTAAAATAGATAGGTCTATTACCAGTAAAAATATTCATATACCCTTAAAGGTGTATTTCCACAGAAATCACAAACCCAGTTACAGCGTTTTTAATTGGTTCAAATCACCAACAACCAGTTTCCTAACTATTTTCAACCAATGAAATTCACTCTGACTGGTTTGTGATTTCTGTGGAAACAGACCTTAAATGATTGCATGAAATTTACTGACAGTGTTTATTGGTCAGTGTCACGTCAGTCATCTTTTTTTTGGCTATGATTTTATCTACATTGTGAGCCTAAGCCTAGATACTAGCAAAAAATTTGAAGCATAAGAGAACGAGGAAATACCAGAACATATTTAACATATTTTAGATAAAACCGCCAGTTCCTGCATGAGCCCAAAGGTGGTCCCAAAAATTTTTCAATATCGTTTACAATAATCAAATGAATAATTGGTTTTTGTTAGTTGCTTCTGGGTATTCTGTTTTGAATTTTATTTTATTTTTTAATTTTTGTCTCATTTTTTATTTTTATAAATCTTGTCGCTCGTAGAAAAAATACTGTTCCTGACTCTTGCGCAAAGTATCTTGTTCGCACTCGGCTGCTGCCCGAACTCCGCTCCGCGTCGTTCGGTCAACTGCAGCCAGCGTGCGAACAAGAGTTACTTTGCGCACTTGTTAGGAAATATACTATTTTTTGTCCAGGTAGGAACAGGTAGGAGTTTTGTCAGTAGGAAACCGGCCGTTCCTATGACATTTTGCCAGTGTAAAACACTCTAGTGAAATAGTCAACAGAAAAAGATAACAAAAATGAATTTTTACCTGCAGCTACAGATGTTAAAGTATTCACTTTAATAATATGTTGAACAGCGGCTGTAAGTTTCTTAAAACATGGATTGTCTGCGTTATCGGTAGCTTCGAGGAAAAATCCAACTACAGCCAAACCGTCTGGTTTATCTTGTGCTTCTTGGAAACTTGCGTATTTGTTATTATAGTGTACTGCGTGGGCCTCCATCGAGAATCTAGAAATAAATTGCCCCATTAATATTTCCTTTGGTCCACATAAAATTCCCCAAAAACCTCTAATTACTTCGTTGGCACTTCGAAACCCCCTATAGCCTACTCGAAACGAACAATGTATGAACATAACTCATCCAAAAATCAATGTAAACATACATTTTCCTTCCTATCTTTCTCGCTTATGGGTTAACGAAAATGGGTACGGAACACTGGAAAAACGTGATATGAATAGGAATAGCCGATAATGGGAGCCGCTTGAATCACCTTTTGAGGTGTGTATTGAATGGGAAATGTAAATTTCAGCATATAATATGGAATATGGAGTTAGGAGTTACTCCCTGAAGCGTTAAATTTTGTAAGGCATTCACGATTCAATTAATTATTAAAACAATATAAGGAGTCATACATTTCCTAGCCATATAGGTAGGTAGGTATTCTCGTGTTGGACCAGTCTTGGACGTATTTGAGCTGAAACGTTCTTCGCCCGATCATTGGAATCTCGTTAACTTCACCTAAGTCAGGCCTCATCCTTTAAGTCCTTAAATTAAAAATTGACATTTAAAACTAATGATTCCATTGAAGACGTCGATGCAGAATATATCTAGATACTTGAAAGGATATTAAAATTTTCATTTTCAGTGACTACAATATTCGGAAAAAATTTCAAATAGGGCTAATAATAATGTTGTCTTAGTGCTAATATTGGATGTGCTTTGGGTTTTAGTAACACGTTTCGTCATGAAGAATTCGTAAAAATTAATAGGTAATAGGTATCAATGGTATGAAGACTGATTGTTAAAATACCATACTCTAAAACCCATTGAGATTGAAACTTTGCGGTTTCTAACGCTGAATATATTGGGATATTCCGAAAGTGGGTATATAGGCTCCATGTCTGCGTCGATTCGTGAGGTATACTCGTATAAAAATGGGAAATGTGTTAATCAACATCTTGAGATAAATAAAATATGAGAGCTGCCCAGCTCAATTGCAAAATGACTCGCAAGAAAACGTGGAAGAATTTACCTACTCTTTCAGAACTTGTCTAGATACAATGTAGGCAACACAATCGACAATTCGTATAAAATCTTAGACTATTATAGACATCTAAGGGAAACATGTTGTATGAAGTATCTAATAAAAATGCTTTCTTTCCTAATGGCAGGCAATTACCTGAAATGTCAGCAACGTCTGTTACAAAAGTTATTATAGGGCATAATTGTTACAATTATTTTCCCAGTTGATTGCTATTTTAATAATAAGCAATGTTCTTATCTAAGTTAACAAAGTGAGCACGCAAAGGTTGGTATAAAATTTATAAAGTATACAAGGCTGATTTTTGTCAATAACCTTGGAAACGTCGATTTACAATTTTAGTTGCCGTTTTCTTGATGATAATATCATGTCTCATCGTCCATCGATATTGATTATTTTCTATGCTATTCTTATTGTCGTTGATTATGCGTTTTTTGATTGGTATATAAACCAATTCTGGAGTCTGGAGCCGCACACTCTTCCACAGAATTTGTCGTGAAAGACGTGTTTCGGGCATGCGGACGAGGTGACATGTCCAACGAAGTTGGTGTTCAATATTTTCACTCTAGGGACTTTATTCTCGAAACCAAAGAACAGCTTTCTCATGAGAACGATTGCTCTGTCATTGTCAGTATTATATGAATACGGACGACGAGGACAGAACCTTCGTTCTCATGAGAACGCTGCTCCCTTGTTTCGAGAATAATGTCCCTGACGGCAGGTGACTCTCGACAAGGTGAAATATGGATTCTATAAATAGAGAAAATAAAGTGGGTGCAGCCGTGTTTAACGCCTGTAGGTATTTCGAAAGACTCTCCTTGTCCATCGTTGCTTAGGACGGTTACATTCATGCACTATACTTTTGCGGACACCCAACCTTTGCTAATATCTTCCAAAGAACTTCTCTGTTGACCGAATCAAATGCTTTCACTAAATCTATGAAGGCCATGAATAGAGGCGATTTTGCTCTCTGAATTTCTCTTGCATTTGTCTCGCACCAAAAATGATGTTCCCGTTTCTCTGGGAGGTTCTCTGTTCGGCGGTTGGGAATGGACGATATGATAATATCCTGGCAAGTATCTTCCCGACTTTCCAGCAATAGAAAGTAAAGATATTTCTCTGCAGTTTCCACATTGGGTCTTATCTTCCTTATTTAAAAAAAAAAGCAACTATGGAGGCATCCCTAAGTTCGGCAGGCATGGTCTCAGTAATATTGCTTATTAGGATGTGGGTTTGGGCACGCCAACATTTTAAAAAGAATTAAGCAGGAATGCCGTCAATACCAGCTGATTTATTATCCTATTGTAGTGTATTTTTTCCGAAGATGGATTTTGACATTGAAAACTTTGAAACATAAACAATGACGCTTGGCCCCGATTGGTCGCAAAATGCCGTGTCCCTGTAGGTTGGAATCAGTTCTATAATGCATGTCGTGCAAATGACATGTTGCGACCAATAAGCGGCATCGTTTATGATTCAAAGTTGACAGTGTCAAAATCTATCTTGGGAAAAAATACAGTATATGTAGTTAGTTGTCTGATTGCCTTTTCAGCCTCCTCTAATCTGGGACCTCGCTCATTTCTTGTTGTATTGGTTTCTGGGGAATTTCGGATTGAGTTTTGTGGAATCGGATTGAGTCCTTGTGTGATTGGTCCGTATACCTTCTTAGGGCCAGTTTCACAAACAGTGGTAACCCAATGGTAACCACAAGACACTGGTAACCTACAATATATCTGTTTCATAATGTGTGGTTTAGTCAAAACCATTGGTTAAGCTTCAGAATATGCAATGTAGTTGTTAGCGCGCTACACGTTAACTACACTTTCTGTAGCGTTTTCGTAGATAGATCTAGGCTTTTAGAAATATCCTAATGTATAACAGTTGGCAACAACAATGACGCATATCAATAAGTAATATTTCTGAAGATGCCGTGTGAGGGCGTGCGCGGCAGGCGTACTAGCCGGAAGTCCCTGGCTAGTCGCCATTGATCGGGCATAGAAATAACTACACGCCTTGCAATCTGTTGTTGTGTCCTCAATCGACTTCTTGCACTCAATCGAAATTAGGTATATAATTTATCTGTAACGAAAGTGTATTTTATATACTACATAACAGTATATGGTTGGTTATTATTATTATTTTTTTAATCTTGAAGGCAGAAATTAAAAGAAAAAAAAGCAGATTATTTGAATTCTGCGCCATATTTTTGCACCAGTCTGCGCCACATTTTTGCAGAATATATAATTTCACATCATATTTGTTGCAATAATAACCGAGTAATGAGCGATTTTGTGAGACAATGTCAGATTATTGAAATTTTCTGAGCTCAAAAATTGCAAAAATCATTTTTATTTTTTTACAAGCTCTAAAACCCAAAAAACGGAGTTGCAATAATGCTTTTCCACTAATTTTCACTTCTTCCGATTGGTAAAGTCAAAAATTGCAAAATCCAAAAATTTAAAAATTCAAAATTATCAAAAGGGGTAGGTATGCATGGGAAATTGATTTTCAAATATTTCAAAGGTCTATATTTTGAAAACCAGTGAAGTTATCGGCATAAATCTTTTGCTCAATTGTAGCTCTTCAGAAGGGCTATAAAAAAGGTTATTTGAGACTCCGAAATCAAGAACTAGTCGCTTATACATCGCGTGGTCTAAAATTGTAACCCTTTCCCGCATAGACCATGAGCGGCCATTACTGCTCTAAACCCCTCCCATGTTAAAGCTATAGCTACGTCGTTGGTTACAATCTGGCAGCAAACAAAAAACTTATACCTGAAGAAAAAGTGGCTGTGAAGAAAAAATTAAAAATTAAATAGTGGATACAAAAATATGGAGATTAATCCTAGTAGATTAGTTACATACTGGAATGACGATTTGCTTTGACGATTTTTTGAAGTAGGTAACAACATTGAAACGTTAAAGAAATTTAGCAACTTTTTAAAAAAAATAAATAGTATTCTAATATGTATATCTCCAATTAGAGATCTCATATTTTTATTGATATATCAGATTTTAAATCAATAAATCAATAATAAATCGTTGACTTTAAGTATGGCAATAAACGAAAATTGTTTATTGTAAAAATACGATAAAATTATTGCATTAACTTAACCGATAATGGAAAGCCCGTGTTGCGGCTGACTTTGTAAGCGATTTTCTGGATAAAATTAGTTTGCCCAATTAAATGATTGCTTAAAATTTCCTCAGGTATGTTTTTTTATGGCTGCATTAGTATTCAACCTTCAAGGTTAATAATATCGTAAATTAATTTGTTGCGTGGTTTTAATAAGTGTGAGAATGATTTTGATTATGTTTTTTACTAGGAGATATCTCGTGACCGCATTTTTCCAATATTTACGCGGTTTATAACAGAAAATAACCTTCCTAATACTGCGAAGCAGTTTACTTACGCCTGTCCTTCGAAAATATGCTCGCAACCACTATTGTCGTCATCGCTCCAGTGAAAATGAAGTTGCTCAAAAACGTAAGTATCTTCGTGTAAGGGCCCGCCTCTAAGATATGGTAATTCATCTCTTTGGAATCGAATCACAGCTACAAAAAAAAAAAAAAATTACGCGTGTAAAGTAGACGTGATGCATTTGTGGCAAAACCCCTTCCACTTTTACTTTCCTAGCTATAGGCGAAAAGTACTTGAATATATAAAAGAAAAAACTTAGGAAAACTAATTTTCTTAGAGATTTTCTGTTACCTATTATAAATGAGATGCAATTTCATCTGCAACTTTTTTTAGCCTTGATGAATAACTGCTGATATATCTATGTGTACTTAGTTGCAAATGTGATTTCTTGTTCTTATTTTCTCTTGTATTTCTTTGGGTTTTTACTGAAAGTTTGTTGGACTAATTTGTCACCCTCTCCAACTTCGTTCCCGTTCATGTGTACCTCCCTCAACTATTTAGTAAATAAGCACATCCGCCGATCGCAACAATCTGTTACATCGTGAGATGATCTCATTTAGGCCAAACAAATACGTATTTCTCTAGCACTTTAAAGCTCGATTAGTACTAAAGATTAGTACCAAGTTATAGTGGGACCGGTCTCCGCTTTGGGTGGCCTGTAATCCTGTCTGGTTGCGGAAGCTTCTGAGAGTCGAGGCCACCGATTTTTATTCGCCGTGACTGGTATAATTTGATTCACATCTACATTAACATTTCGGATTTCTTTGCTCCCTTTTTGGCACGGTTTCTTGCTTTCGTAGGGTGGCCTCAGCCGTTGTTGGCACACGCAGATGTTCTCCATAGGTCAACTTCTCGAAACTGTTTTATACTTCGAAAAATCTTAACGTGAAAACAGAATACCAATACGTTTTGTAGTAGACGACGTCAACTATTCAAATCTTTTTATTTTAAATATTAATCAGACTCACGGTTACGCATACAGACCTGCCGGAAAAAAAGAAAATGAAAAATTCAAATCGCAGGGCTTATTACAATTATGACAGTGGCCTACCCCTCTTTTCCGCACACAAAGAGAATATCATTAAATCACACTTTTCCCCAGAACGCCATTGATTCAGATCAAAAAATTGCGGAGTTGCGAATTTTTGAAAAAAGCGCTGAATATTCTGATTTTTTACGTTTCCTAATTATTCTATCGAGACGTTCGTCGTCCCATTCTGTAGGTATTTTCATTCTGTATATTTTATCTGCTTGGACCATTGAAATCCATCAGATCTTGCCAGGGACGGCTTAGGACTTCTTGAGGCCCTGGGCCTATATGGAAAAGGAGGCCCCTTACCTACAGGGGGAAGGTATAATTTACAAATTACAATGTCGTTTTGTAGATTTTACAGAGGCAATATCGTGGATTGTCTTCAAAATCAATGGTTTCTAAAATATCGCTTTCAATGCTCATCAAACTTGGATTATTCAATCGTGACTGGTTTATGCGGTTTCTAAATCTAATTTCGCTTTTGACTATTTTAAGCTTGGATTGGAGAATAAACGCTCCTCGCTTGCATTGGTGACTATCATAGATAAAAAAATTATCAATAGTAATATCATGTGAAAATGGAAATTATTGATAATTTTTGGGAAATTTGCCCGAATGCATTTTTAGTTGAAAAAGAGCACGATTGTCGAAAATTATAAATATATTTCCATTGCACGAGTTGTATTTAATGAGAGTATTTCATAAATCAAAAATTTAAATTTTTTGTCAAAAAATGTCAAAATACCAGTTTTCGCACCAGTTAGTATGCAATTATCTGATAATTTGCACTAGTGCAAATTATCGCGTAATTACAATCTGATTGGTTCAAATCAACAATCAAAACATGTCAATTTATTGTTGGAATACCAGTTTTGACAGATGTATGAAATTCTCATAGCAATTTTAATGTTTGGAAATACTGTGAAAATATTTTCTTCGAACATATGTAAAGCTTAGGTACCGATTCCAATAGACTAATCATCTCCATCTTCTTTTGGTTCATCTTGATCATCAGTAGATTAAGATTTATTTTTCTTCTCATTTATATTTTTATTCCCCATTTCTATCTCTTGTTTTTTTTTTTGTAGTTTTTCAATATCCATGCTGATATAGGATTTGAAATGCTCACATTCCAAAATAAATTAGTCGGTATTAATGTCTTTGTTATAAAATTGTCACAATTTTACCACTTCTCTTGAAATTTCAATTTCAGTCAGGTCAGAAATTATTTCAACCAGCCCAATTTAGATTTGCCAATATTAGGAAAAATGGAAAACGATACAGATTTTATGTTTCGTCGAATTTCTTTGATTATGTGGGTGACTAATTACATACATAAACCAAAACGTGATCATCACGGCAGCCAGAATAATCCGCAAGGGTCGAACGCTTCTCACCACCAAAGTCATCGTGCTCACCCTGGTACACCAGTGCATGACGATGATAATGACTTAGCTCATCCCAGTTTAGATTCAAGTAGGGATCTAGTTTAACAAAATTCCTGTGCATAATTTCATGAACTTCAGCTGAAGGAATGATTCTCATCTGCTACCTGCCTATAATTTTTTTTTCCGTTTTTTTTTTTCATTAAATTTATTTTAAATTAGGCGTGGACTTAGCGATGAGGCCGCCTTGGTGCCCGAGGCCCTGGGCCCGGGCCCAGCGGGCCCATGCCTTAAGACGGCCCTGGATCCTGCTTCATTTGTTTTAAAAAAACGGCAATAAAGTCGCGAGTGGAAAACATTACCTACCTATTTATCTACGCTACGCCTCGTTTCTTATATAATCGCATTAGTTCGCTGTTAGTATATAATCCGAGATTACTACATTGGAGCCAGCGGAGAACTCCGGGTTCCTTACATAAGTGGCATCGGTCAACTCTGATCCCTAACATTGGGGGATTCTCTTACCAGCTTCCCATGTACTTTTTCTTGATTTATCCAAAATTCTGCTCAAGTAGGCAACACTTTATGAAACATCTGGTCGACTAACCAAAGACAAACACATTAGACTACATATTAATATTCAGTATGGCACATTGTCAACAATTGGTTAATCTTCTTGTACATTGAAATCAACTTCCATAGGTGTAGAAACATTTCTGGTCTCCTCCATATCAAATTCCTCAAGACGTCTTGATATGATGTCACATTGTGTAATTTTTAACCCCTTGTTTGTTTTATTAATCTCCATTCCCAAAAATCTTTTGACTTCGGCAGTCATATTTTTAGTTTTATATTCTTTGTGGAGGTTTTCCAAAAGAAACTGTAATTGGTCTTCGTGTCTTATTATTAAACCATTGTCCATAAATAAAACGTCATCCTTGAAATATAAACAATAATCATAGTTCGACCTTTGAGGATTTAGTTTTTCCATCACTGGGTTAAATTTACTGTTCCGACATTTTGGAGCATTTCTCAGACCGTATAACGCACGATTCAGTTTAGGAGACTTTGAAGTAGTAGGTATTTGAGCCTTCTGGGTTCGTTCAAAAATGCAATTGAAAGATCTATTTGATGAAGTTTACAATCTTTTTGGACAGAAACTGAGAACAGTAGTCTTATTGTTGATAGTCTGCAAACTGGAGCATAACAAAACTCATCTCCATTATTATAGGGCAATTTAAATCCTTCTGCCACCAATCTGGTCTTTTTAGTACCATCATCTTTGATTTTGAAGATGTATCTAGTGTATATTGCTATCCGCTAGCCATCGTTTACGCTCTGCTACAAACGACATTTTCCAGGACTATCTTTTAAAGGTGATTGTTCGCGAAAAAAAAAAACGACACAGATTTCCTTACATTTTAATACTCTTCTGTCTGCGTATATCTGGGCCCATAATCTGATACAAGTATGGGTATTTTGATGAGAAAGAACTTAAAACACTTTCAGATAAGACAGACAAGAACTCACTTCTTGACAGATCATAATTTTGTCAGCCATAGAACCTGGTACTGGTTAATGGGCCTATCTTTTTTTACCTTGACTGCGCGCGCAACTCGTGGGCTGCAGGTGTGCGACCAATGAGAAATGAGATTGTTACGGGCTTGCATCATATTCTTATTCAAGAGCCAGTTCAGAATTCATCGTTCCTTCTTTCTTTGTAACGTGTAATTCGACAAAGAGCAAACTAATACTTTACGTATTACTTCTGAACTCACCGCAGTGTTGTTTAAAATTATGTCAGATTATACTTGACATATTCCTTTGCACTTTCATTGTGCGATGTTGCCCGATGAAACACATATCAAAATGAAAATGCAAAATGCAAACGATGTTAAAATACACTTTAAAGCTCTTCCTTTATCTGATTTAAAGCGTTGTAAAACACGTAAAAAATTTCTTTTTATTGGTATAATGTTCGATTTGTATTGTCTAGATTTGTTCTGCTACAATACAAACTGACTACACTGCAACCCAATAGTTGCGCGCGCATGTCATCTTTTATTACTTTCCAACTTGTATTTATCACAATTAAGCTATCTTTTTCTATTTAAGCGAGACAGGTCAATTCTATCAAGGACCGGCTTCTGGAACACTCCAAATTTCAGGGAGAATGGATTCAAATCATAATCCCCGAGGAGCTCGAGAAAATCCTGGGGGAAGGGCGAGATGACACACTACTTAAGAATAATAGGGACGAAATACGTGAAAAAATTGTATCTATTTATCGGGAACTTGGATCTCTTTTTGTCAGGAAGTTGGAACTATCCGAAAGGGATCGTGTTACGATGGTACATCCGATTAGAAAATCATTTTGCCATCTGCCTTTCACCTTGAGCGTCGGATACCCAAATTAGTGTGCGAGCCCACTTTACTTATAGAGAAACCACTGTTAGTGGAACCCTCTCTCAGTAACGGGAGACCCTACAACCCAACGCCAACCATGATTAAATTAGCCTTATTGGAGTGCCATTTGTTATTCTCACTTAATTTAATTTTCATTTATTTCATTCCTCTACTTACATTATCATACAGTCATTATATTGTATTATCATCGCATTCTGCAATTTCGTGTTCTCTCTGGCACCGGTTTTGTTTTATGTATTTTGCGTTGTTTGTCCTGTTTTCGCTTTCATTTTGTCTTGTTCCATTTGTCGTTTAGTCCTATTCTGCCTCTCTCATGACTGTGTCTTTCACTGCTGCCTCTGCCCATTAGTTTATTTTCATGGTCCGTGCTGTCACTATTCTCTTGTTATTTCTCAGGGTTAGCCCGAGATTGCCATATTCGGCTATGATTTGATTTCTGATCCTCAACCTTTCGTCGGAGCTGCAAATCTTTCATGCTAGGCGTCCTCCATCAGGTTTGGATCGCAAGCGCAAGTTTCCTTCTTTTGGCGGAGCTCAAACCGATGAACGTATTGCTCGAAGTTTTTGTGGCCTGTGAACAGTTCGGTCGCCTTAAAGCTGAGGTCGATTCTCTCGTACCCTACGTTTTTACAATGTTTGTATAACTCCTTTCCCTTGCTGTTGTTATCCCAAGCTCTTTGCCACTTCTCCAACGTCCTTCTGTATCTCTCGGCTTTGTGTTGAACTCTATACTTGCCTGGATGTATTCCCCCTGAGGTCCTCTGCGATTTGTTCTTCCTCCCTAGCGAGATTTGCCAGTTTGTCAGCTTCTCTGTTCCCTGGATTGGATTTGTGTGTCATGACTTTTTTTACATTGGAATTTTATTCCTGTTTCATTGTCGATCTGCTCCTCTGTAAGTTTTAATGTTTGTGCTGTCTATCTTTGATAGGTCCATTGTTAAGTCGGTCCAGAATCTGCTTCCTGTTTGTCGTTAACAGAAGGTTTATTCCTAGTATCTGGGACCCTGTTTGTAACCCGGCGATGTAGGTACACACGTCAATTCCAGACTGCTCTAATAGCTTAGCTAAAGTTGGAACTCTGATGACATGGCTACAACATTGCGGCTTTTCCTAAGAACTCTTCCGCCAGATTCCTAACAAAACTATGGTGCACTCGTTGATGCGTTATAACACGTAGGTATGGAAATCAACGCCAAGGGCAGCTGTACCAGGGATAGCTAAAATCCAAGACAAAATGAAGCTGTCAACAGTTTACCAGATTTTGAAACTGATATTTTGTACTTCGGCCTACCCGGAAGCAACAATAATGGAATTAAGATATTATGGATGTACAGAGAATGGTATTCCTGACCAAGCCATCAAATGGCGTAGAAGCGAAGCTCTAGTAAAAGACCTAGAAATCGAAGCGGTTTAAGATATTAAGATATAATGAAGAAACATCGGGAAGAAAATAAAAACGAACGAAAGGTTGTTTTCAGAAGCAATCAAGGAAAGTCGAAAGGGGGCACCGAATGTTGCCGATGTGGTTGGAGAGGACATTTGAATACGATTTTTAAATCAAACATCGTTCTAGTAGGTAACTGTATAGTAACGCACAGGCTTCTTGAAGCCTTCGATTTTAGACGCATCATGAATGGAGTTCCGAACAGCTTAAAAAAGATTTTTTTGAGCCTAAAGGAAACAACAAACTACTGATCCAGAAGATCAATATTATCCTTCAAACAGATGCTCTACAGATTCCTACGATGATGATTGAAGAATCATAATACGAATGTTATGACCGTCCACACAGGCGCAGACAAGGCGGCTGGCGGCGTGGCAGTCAACAAGAAATAGGTGGTCATTCTTCTAGTTCCTGTGACGTGTGAAGTCAGACGTCAGTCCATGAGGAGGAGAACCACGAAAGCGTCAGGGTAGAACTGGATGAACAGGAAGGCATCCCAGAGGGTATTCATTTGACAGACACAGAGATGTGAGGCATGTGAATAGTTGACATGTTGAAAATGATTAAAAGTATGACAAAAAACCTAGATCTAGAGGACAACATCTTTGGGAATAATTTCCAAAAATATTGTTCTAATAACAGATGGAAATCTGAGAAGAGGTAAGAAGTAAAAAGCAGGTTGGTGCATCTTGACAGGGAAAGGCCTATCACGAAAATAAATGGTCAGCGCGTGGTCTGCAAGTTGCAGTCAGATTAAAGAAGATAATCGTTGGATAAAGTTTAAAAGCGATATGTGATTGGTACATTTTGTAAAGTCAATTAGCTCAATAGAATGTGTTGTTAGTAAAGAGAGTTTAAGTGGTTCTGCGGAATTCGTGACCGTGCCAATAGAACAAGTATTAACGGAATATTTATGCCTAGCCTAGGACAAATAATGGAATGAAAAAAAGAAAATCAGACGAAAGAAATAAAGACAAGGAGGAGAAGATTGGCTCAAGCATTATTCTGGCAATTCTTCTATATCTCAAAGGAACCGCTCCATGGAACTATCTATCGTCCATAAAGTTTGACATGCAATTTATGTGAGTGTATGGAAAAAAATTGTAGTGAAACAGTTAACCTCATTTTTACTGGAGCAAAATCCATTACTGAACCACCAACATGGCTTTCTTCCAGGACGATTGGACAAGGGACTTTGACAATAAGGAGCAAGTGGATGTGATATATTTCGAGAAGGCGTTCGATAAGGTGTGTCACAGCTATCTCCTGCATAAATTACATCACTTTGGCATTGTTGGGAGCTTGCTGCAATTTGTATCAAATTTTCCATTGAACCGATACTATCAAGTAAGAATAAATGAAACATTTTCAGGCAGAAGAAAAGTGCAGAGTGGGATGCCCCAGGGATCAGTACTGGGCTCTCTACTTTTTCTAATATAGGTCAGTGATATGAAATCAAATATCCAAACCAAAATCCTACTTTTTGCTAACGACACGAAATTGTATGCAAAGGCCGCAAAAAACAAGAAATTGCAAGAAGTTCTCAGAGCTATAGAAGTGTGGTCCAATACCTGGAAAATGAGGCTAAACGAAGAAAAATTATAAATAAATGAGAAAAACTACCTTGAGGACCAATACCACTGAAAATGTCTATAAAATTAACAATATTGAGCTGAAGCATGTGAGGGAACAAATTGATTTAGGTGTCAGTGACCTATAATCTGAAATGGGAGATGCACGTAACAAAAATTGCCAAAAAAATCCAACTCATACATACCTTGTGAAAAAGGCCTTTGAAGACCAGTCGTGTGACACTATTATGAAGCAGTATAAATCTTTTATACGTCCAAAACTAGAATACGCCCACTCAGTTTGGTTTGGAATCCGTACCTCATAAAGGATATTGAGATACTAGAGCGTGTGCAGAGATGATGAGCAACAAAGGTTCCACCATCACTTCGTAATGAAGATAACCTTATTCTGGATAGCCGAATTGGGACTCTTTTTTGAAGGAATGGCGTCTGAGAGGAGATCGGATCGAGACATACAAGAATATTCGAAATGGCTACTCCTGTAACCTTGACATCTTTACCTTCAATGACAACCCCCCATCTACGAGGTCATACTTTAAGGTGTAAGGAAAAAACCGCTAAGCTTCCAAGAAGGAATTTCTTAGCAAATCGAATTGTCTACCTGTCAAATTCTACAGTCACCGCGCAGAGTTTGAATTCTTTCAAGAATAAGGTCGACACCGATATGAGTGCATTATTCCAAGTGGATATTCATTATGGACAATAACTTATCAAAAACACGACGATAAACTTACAAGTAATCCAATAGTTTCATCAGCGTAACTGTTTACTTTTGTACCATGATAATAATAATAATAGATAAAAAATTCCCCAATATCTGGGAACAAGAGTCTTCAACACTTTCTGGTCCCCACATACGGCTGTCAAGCATGGACTTTTACAAAGGCAAATATCGAAAAAATAGCTACCTATCATACAAACAGCCATAGAAAGGTAAATAGTTGAAATAGTGAACATCAAACTGGCAGACTGAAAGTGTAAGTGAAGTACCCAATTAAAGAGAAGTAATGGATGTCTCCGCGCGAACAGCAAGATTGACATGGACTGGATATACATTAAGAGAAAAAAACAGACTAGATGGCTTAGATAGGTACCTACCTAAAACTATAATATATATTGGTGAACATGGATTTATGCGCGAAAAAGACGGAGATCACAAAAATGTGATGGATGAGGATGATCTTAAGGAACGCGCTGGATCAATGAGGTGTGGACTTTCGGGGCTTTTTAAATGGCGGTTGTGTTAAATGGATAGTTGGGTTGGTTTGTATGATGTCAGCTTCGAAATTTGCTGAATATGCGTTGGTAGATATGAGTTATTCGTTATTCGAATACATACTATAATGCTACCACGAGTATTTAACACAATTAATAACTTGAAACTGAAAATCCATAATTGATAAGCTAGCTCGTTGAAACTCCTTCCCTTCAGATATTGATGATAAAGCCTCCAGAGCCATTTCTGAATTAAGTAATTCAATAATAATCATAAAAATTAAATAGTATAGTATAATATAAATCGCTTCCTTCCTATCTCAAGATGAAGCTCCCCTCGGAACTTTAGGCCCCGGGTGACTCTAATCTCTCCACAATAATGAAACACTTTTCATCCATATTTTATAACAGAGTTTCACAAGCAAGAAGTGAGTTTTTTGTCTTGTCACGTCCAGGGAATAATGCTGGATATTCCCGATTCTTAAATAATTAAATTTCATAAAAAATTTCACCTTAGATCCAAATAACTATTTGTCACCAAAATTATATTTAATTATATCAAGGAAAAAATATTTTGCGCAATAATGTAATTAATTTCTTCGAACTTATATCAAATAGTGTGCATGAAATACATGAAGTAAATATGTACCTATTTAATAAAATGCTCCAACGCGAGCAATTAGGGAGTGTGGAAAACACACACCGCAGTTTCTTACGTAAAAGAACCTAGTTATGAATTTTTCCTTTGCTCTAATAACGCCAGTAAAAAATGGGGTAATTGGTGTTTTTATTATTACTCGTTAAGTAGTAAATCGCTTTATGCTTATATATATAAGACGCAAATTCTCTAAAAATTCTTACCAGTTTTTCCAGTGTTTTCAAAAGTGGCCTCTCCCAACTTATCCCAATGTCCGTGGAAGTCCAATGGTTCGAAATGGTCATGGCTGATGCTTTCCTCATGCTTGAGCTCTATGGGCGATTGGAATTTATGCAGCCTCCATTCCGCTACCAGAACGTGAGCTTCATGGTCTTCTATAATTCAAAAGTTGATTTTCAATAAAAAACATAACGGATAATTGAAAATAAGTTCCACTTCACGCACTAGTACGTAAAGTAATGCCGATGACAGATGTCGACACTGTCAATTTAATTTTTTTTTTGGTAAATTATTTCATGCACTAGTGCGTAAAGTATTTGTTTAAATTTATTTTTTTGCAAATATTTTATTGGTAGTAGAAAAAAAATTGTATGCCATATGTGTGTAAAGGATCTTTTTTCACTCATGTGATCGTCGCACACTGCTTCGGCTCGTGCGTCAAAATTCACATTCGTGAACAGAGGTTCACTTTACACACTCGTTGCATAAAAAGCTATTTTTTAATAGTTTTCCTTGCTGTATCTGATGTAGTTGAAATGGAAATCTATATAGCTTTACTCGAAGGAGCGTTAAGAATGTAATATGGGGCAGATAAGCAGTATTAGAGAGTGATTCCTGACGTTAAATTAAAAACGCGTAGGAATTTTCCTTTAGTTTTTAATTTACAATTTACAGAGAATTGAGAATGCGTGGGTAACAATAAAAGATGAGATGATTAGAAAACTCCGAGTTTATTAATACTATAATAGTGCAGTAATAATAATAATATATTTAGCAATTTATATTTTAAAAAGTAATGACCGACAGATATTTAGTTACCGATTTTCGGTTGTGATTTTAGTCAGTGAGCTTTTAAATTAATTGAAAACTAATACGTAGGTACTTGTATAAACAAAACTTAATTAACAAAGGCTAGATAGCCAGGTACATAGAACAAAAACTTGAAACTAAAATATCACAAAAATTAGCATGTTATACGAAAAGTAAATACGTTAATATTACGCAAATTAATAGCTAAGTGTTAAATGGATTAAATGTACAAAATGTCTAGCATCATTGGAGCAATGAGTCAGTCTACTCGAAAACCCTTGAGTCATCTTTCAAGTGTCTCTGTTTGAATATACCGACTTTAAGTACTACTACAAATAATTTGATCGTCAATGTTTGGGTTTAATTTCATAGACTTTACATTTTGAATCTTTTCACAGAAAAAAATCTACGAGAGTAAGGTCGGAAGATTGGACTTGCCACTCCTATTCCTCAAATTGTCTTTTGGGAAAAGTTTGATTTAGAAATTTGCAAAATTGTGAACCAAAGTGTTCTGAAGCACCAATAATATTCCTTGAAATCGGGTTAAAAGAGGATTTGGAGAAAGCAACCCTTGATCTTGAACTATTAATTTGTACAAGTGGGAAGTGAGATTCCCTTGAATGGAAAAAAATGAAATAATGTAAACACCTCTCATGCCCTTTCAGCCATTTAAGTATGAATGTACTTTTTTCGCGGCTTTTGGTTGGTTATGGAAAATAACGCCCTCTTTTCGAGTATAATACAAATTCTCATAGTCATACAGTACCTACCACCACTGCCAGCACCATTGACGTCTTCTAAACTGGAACGTGTTAATAGTACATAAGCCCGACGACGTTATCAATTATGATCTGATTTTAATACCTACTTTCAGTTTCTGATACTTTTGGATCCCATCATAACTCCCGAGTTAATCCCTAAGCTTAAGCATTTACTAGGATATTCGCAACATAGACTTTATAGTGGGCGATAATTTTTAATAAATTTGATGCTATCCGAAGCACTATTGGTTAGAAAATGGAATTCAGGTAGACGCGCAATGTACGCTAATAGGGAACTTGCACATTAAATTAAATATGGAATAAATAATAAAACACAATAACAATTATCCTAATAAATGATGCAATTAGGAAAAAAATATAATATCTTATCTCTGATGTCCAAAATCTTCAATTGAAAAATACCAAATAATTCTAAATTCATGACGCGATCAAAAACGTGTTTCTATGAGTCGTGACGTCACAAGGCAGCAATAATCGGGTCGCGTCGCTGCCATGCCATGTGCTGCTGGTGTCGCCAATGTCAAATCTATCATAAACGGCATGCATACAAGGGCCAATGAACTAAACAAACACACTGGAACGGTGGCTACATAATGTTCCCTACGCAAGGGTTTGTGCCAGGAAGGACAACAAACAAGTGGGATTTGCATCTCTCTCTGCACTATGGCGGCTATTGAGAACAGCTGTTTGAAGTGTTTGGATCATTGAGGTAAGGATGATGAAGAAGCTCTTCTTTTTTTTACGTTAATCGCAATGAGTGCGAACGAGACAACAATCCCTCTGTATTGCTGGGTTGCATATATCAAAATTCGGCACATAAAGCAGTGCGCCCGTTCCAGAGTGTTTGTTTAGTTCAATGACAAGGGCATACATAACAACATAACCATAATCTAAATCTACCTGCTCGAAGTTCGAAGTGGTCGTCACTGTCAACGGAATTTTGTTGCCGAGTGACGTCACACTAATCGGTCGTTTCATTCTATGGTCGTTTCAAATGGCGATGTTTCGAGCGTAACTTCAAATATTTATAAAAAATTAACGGCTGATTTTTATTGCTTGATATTTGGCATAACTATGTCTTTAGTGTAGTAGGATACATTTTTGAAATAAAAAAAAACTGTGCAAGTTCCCTATTTCCTCAAATTATTTGATTCATCATTTCATATTCTCAACTAAGCCTGGAGTGCATGGATCTGAAAGTCTTCTGGAAATTTTGAAATTATACCCAAAAAGTTTGTAAAATGAAGTTGAAGGTCTGTGAATGGAAGACAAAAAAAAATGTATTACTTCAAGCAACCTAAAACTTCATCATGACTGATAGAGAGATAGGTACTGAAACTACATAAAGTCAAATCAGAGTTTGTGAATATCATATTGAAAAAACTAGCTATTCCTGATGAGGACAAATGTATTTTGGACGCTGCTTGTGTCTTGTATGCAGGTGATCTACCTATACCTACGCATATATGTATAAATTCAATAGACGATTGTTACAACTTCCGATGAGCTTTAGAAAATTTTTATTTCTATTGTACCTACTGAAAATAAAATTTTATTGCTAAGAAGAGGTGCTTCTTGACAATAGGAACAATATTGATTTTGTGTATAATATGATGGTGAAATCCCTTTGAGAAACGTTTTTTAATAGAGATCTTGGAATCATAATAGATTATCTCTCTCCTATTTTCATATTATAATCGAATTCTCTCCTGAAGTTAGCTTACTCTACTGTGATTAGAGTTTAAGAATAGAATAGTAAATCTGTTTATTATCAACGTAAACTAACTTAAAACCTAAAACAATAATCTAAGTTAGTGCGATTTGCTTAAGTCCTTGTTATCCAATAATAGAAAGATATTGCAAATCAGCCTTATATAATACGGCTAAAACCTTATGTAGACGCTATAGGTCATTTCCGTACTTCGAATGGCCAGTTTAGATATTGCAAATTTCCAGACTGGAAGTTGACGCCTCATTTCTAACCTAAAAATCTTGTGAATGTGTATCTTTTTAGTTTGAACTTGAAGTGTTTTCTTTCTGTGAAACTTATGCTTAGGTATTTTGAAAATTATAAATTATTTGTTCAAAATATTCAAATAGTAGGTACGTGTAAAATATTAGAACATTGGAAAGAATATCACACAAATTCTCTAAGCAATAAAGGTATGGTTTCGCTGGCGCGTCTGGCGTCGGCGACTCGCGACTGCGTTTGCGTCCAAACGACTGCTTTAATGCGATTGTGTAGGTACTACTGGTTCCGCTGGAGCGTTTCAGCCGCGGCCACTAGCGACCCAGTCGCAGCGTTCGCGACTTGACTGCTAGGCATACTATAGTCTAGACGCGCCGCTAGGCGATTTTTGTAGGAAAATGGCTAAATTTTCGACAAGCCAGGATGAACTATTTATTGGAGAATTTCAAAATTATGCTTTTTCAAAATAATGCTTTATTCGACTACGAGGGTTAACATTATGATAATTTTCCAATACAAGAAAATATGTACATAGAAAAAATATTCTTTTCGGTGAAGAGAGACGGTATTTGTTATCAGATCAGACAGGAACCAAAACCTTAGGATAGGTACCCCTTGAACATTCTATAAATTTATTTCTAAACTTCAAGATGTACGATGTAAATAGAAGAGATGAGGATGAGACGCGCCAACCAAACCACTTGTCGCCGCGACCGGCCGGCGGTTGCGTCTGAAGTTGCAAAAGACGCAGCGATCAGTCGCCACCGCCAGACGCGTCAGCGAAACCGTACCTTAACAGTTCATCGTTATAAGTAAACCTGAGTCTGCCACTTTTCTGTGCCTCGATGTTGTTTTAATTTTGCTCTAAATCAATATCATATTGACAATGACACCTAATGTTTTTGTTAACTTAGCAAGGACCTAATAAAAAACGATTGATCTAGCCGCTATGACATAATTATCTTTATGTCATACCAATACATTATTGTGTTTTTATACCTTAGATACCATCTACGTAATTCATTACTTTATGCCCGTGCGGGCATAAAGTACACATTATGGCCCACGCGGGCATAAAGACGCAAAAAACAGTTTTCAATTAACTTATTATTTATTAAAAAAATATAAGTTTACGCTTATAAACATATTATTCAGCATATTATTTTTGTCAAAAAATAATGATGTTTGCACACTGATACTGATGACAATTTGCAAAGTGACACTTTTTTCCCAGGTATTTATTATTCACAACCAACTGGTATGACATAAAAGTTTGTATGCACCACGGGTACTAATAGATATATATACCCTCGGGCGACTTACGAACCCTCGGGCCAGAGGCCCTCGGCTTTGTAAGACTGTCGCCCTCAGGGCATAATCATCTACTTAGTACCCTTGATACATAAATAACTATTATGTCATACCAATACATTATTGTGTTTTTATACCATCTACATAATGTATTACTTTATGCCTGTGCGGGCATAAAGTACACATTATGGCCCGCGCGGGCATAAAGACGCAAAAAACAGTTTTCAATTAACTTATTCTTTATTAACAAAATATAAATTTACGCTTATAATAGTTATTTGTT